TGTAGCAGTGCATGGGATTCTTCCGTCCTAAGTGCAGGACTCTGCACTTGTCCTTGTTGAACCTCATCAGGTTTTTTTACCCTCCCCTGGGTCTTCAATAAGTACTCACTCCCCATTCTCTGTCACAGATGGTTTTATGGTTAAAGCAATTGAATGCCACCCAGAACAATTAGATACTTCCCCTGCCTCTCCACATAGTTCCTATGTGGTACTGGGAAAGTCATGTAAACCAAAATTTTGAAAGATGTCCAGGGCTTGATGGTACTCACTAAATAATGCATGTAGTTACATGCTGAATAATCAGGATAAAGAGAAATACAGAATGCTTATTAAATGAGCACTGTCCATTCTGTGCACTGAATGAGGAAGGGGTCATGTCGAAAAAAACAGCAATAAGACTGTATCATAATGCATATGTACAAGGGAGCAAAAATAAAATTTCTCAGGAAATTTCCTAATCCTGGTATTTCCTAACTTTTGGCTGGTTGACTTGTCAACTTTAGTGTTCTTTTTATGTAGGAGTTTTTTTTTCTTTTAATGTAATACAAATATAGAGTCAAAGTTTCGGGTCCAGATGCAACCACAAAAATGTGCAGTCAACCATTGTGACTGCAGCTCTCCATTTTCCATGTGCAAACAGTCATTTGTGTACTTATTTGTAAAAACAAATGCAAGTACAAAGGTACATATAGATTGCTGTCAGTGCACCTGTTGCTTTTGATCCATATTGTGAAAGTCCCTAATTCAGTTTTCACACTAAACATATTTAGATGTTTAAGCTGTAATAATTCCTGAAATACAGTAAAATTAATTAGGCCACTAGCATGAAGGCATCTTCCCCCTCTGTGTCTTTTTGATAACAGTATTTACTGTCCCATTTCTCCTCTGTCCCTTGCCTTATGGCACAATATTTTAGGGTTTGATTCTGTAAAGAGTTGATCACCAATTTTGAGCTGCTGAGTGAGAGTCTCCTAATTCAGTGAGAATTGACCATATCTCAACAAAAAGCACTCAAGCACTTTACAGGCTCAGGAAGTTTGTAAATAATATTGACAATCCTCCTGCATGAAGTATCACCACAGTGTAAACAGCATGTTGTTTGGCAGATTTCTTCAGCACAAAAAACATGTTTTTTTGAAAACAGAAGGAATATAAAGATCTGTTTAATAATTTCTTGCATAGTCAGGTCAGCTATTTCTCCATTTTTCTATGTGACATACAAACTGTAATATGGACAGTACACTCCATTAATGAAGAAAAATAGAGTTTGTGAAAGAAAAATCTCATTTGGATATGAAGATACTCTCTTTTTTGAGCATAGGGTCAGACGCTGGCATTTTCAGATTCTCGTTCAATAAAATACTCAATTGACCTATGGTTGCATTCAAAAGCCAAAGTGAAAACAGATGAAAGAATTCAAATTCTAATCTTTCCCCTTTTTGCTGCCACTTCAGAAATGTAGCTTTTCAACCATATTGAGCATGGATTAGTTTTAACTCTAGCCAACTTAAAATCTGAGGGTCCTTCAGCAAAATTAGAAGATGGTTCTGCATTTAAAAAAAATGTAAAACATATTTTGAGTTTGTACAGTACCTGAGCGAGGTTCATAAGTGTGTCTCTGAAGTGGCCTGAAGTCTCAGAATAAATGTCTTGTTGAAGATCATTGTTGTATTCTGGGGTGCAAACCACAACAAACTTGTGTTAAATGTGTAATTTGTAGAACACACAAGTATTCTCTGAATAATGTTAGTGACGATTTGCAAACAATGATGAGTAACAAGAATAAAAACTATACTCAGTATATTGACATTTGCAAGTCTTTAAACACTTTTCAGTGAGCAATAAATTGGCCTAATCATGTGGGGATAGATCTTCAAAGGGATTTTCACAAGAGTTTAAGCAGGTTAGGCACCTAATTCACTTAACCTGCTTATGCACTTTTGAAAATCCCATTAGGTGCCTATCTGCATCTTTAGGTGGCTAAACGCCTAAAAATCTGGTCTGTAGTCCCCACTGCTAGCAAGAACCTCCGTGACTTTAATAGGATTTTTACCTAAATAGTGACCATGGGTTCAAGCCTAAAATGACAATTAGTTAGAGAACAAACAAACAATCCCCCCAAAACAAAAAAACAACCCCCCTCCTTCTTTTTAAAGATTTAAAGAGTTTAATCTTCCTTCAAAAGTTATAGTCCAAAAATATCAGCCTGTGGACTGAGAGACATTTCAAAGATCACAGAATCATGAATGTCTAAAAAAACTGAGATATTTTTATGCTACTACATTAAAAATTTAAACTTGATTTATACATTTTGCTTCAGCCTTTTATGTACAATTATCCTGAAACAAGGAAAGAGAGAAAACAATTGGCTTTAAGAAATCATCTTTGGAAATCTAGCTCTTTCAGTCATGCAACTATATCCAGAACCCACTTTTAGTCAGAATTGCACCCTTGTAGGATATGCTACTGTATACTTAAATAAAATAAAATAAACAATACGCATTAAGTAGGCTTCTTTCATTTGGAAGATCTCCCCATTTGATCTTGAGGCTAATATATCAATTAGACAGTTCTCTTCCATCTCTGCTCCCTGCAAGGAAAAAATAGCAAACAAGCAAGGTCATTACTAGTAGAGATAATGGCTTCCAATACAATGTGTAATATTTGTCAAGGACAGTCAAAGAATGCTAGTCTCTGTTCGAAGAGTTCATGGTTTATTTTTATGGGTTATTTTCCTATTAATAAGAGTACTGATTTCAGTCTTTTCGGGGTTACAGATTAGCTTCTGTGTAATTAGTATTAGAACTGAACCTCCAACACTAACACTTAAAGTTAAGCATGTGAAGTCCTATTGCTAAGGCACCATGGAGAGCGAGACAATGCCCTACCAAAGGAGAAAATGCACGGGGATGAATAATTCATTCCGAGGGAGCAATAAAGCCCTTTTAAATATGTGGGGCTTTGTAAAGAATTAAATGCATGTACTAAGCATGCTGTCCCTAATTGTGCTAGGGGTTTAGACAATTTGAAATATATTTGAACATCAATAACATGCTGTGCTTCCAGTTTCTCTTTTTTTGGAACTACTTAGAAGTATGTTTTGCAATGTTTACAACAGTACTTGATTTTTACATGAAGTACTTCTTCATTACTGTCATACCATGTAGGATTGCAAATCATTACATTTCCCCACAAGGTTGTTGACTTCAGTTCGTGAGTTTGAATTCAGGTGAATGGATGCTACATATACTGCTTTTGATAGGTGCATACAGCTCTGGTTAATAACAATGGGAATTACGAATTTAGAATAGGAGAAGAATATGTCAGCAAAGCCCCAATTCTGCAGAGTTATGTATGTGCATTATTTTAAGCATCCAAGTAATCCCATTGATTCCACAATTAAGGTACAAGGGTGTAAAAAAGCACAAACTTGATTCAAATGCAGAAACATTCTAGATTTGCCAATCCTGGTCAATAGTGATAAAAATAGTATTTCTGATGTTACTAATGGGCTATAATAATCTCACTGCTAACCATCATTTTAAAAATATACCAGTAGCTCTAAAAGTGCCTTGATATCAACTGTTAAAAAAATGACAAAGTTGGTGCTCATTTTATTTGCTGGCAATGACTGCTTAATACAATAAAATAGTTCCTAGCCTTGAAAATGGGAATGAAAGCAAAATGTTAAAGGATAGTCATTGATTTATAAAAGAGTAAGGTAAGTATTAGGGTGCAGACAATGCAAACACTTATGCATGTGCTTAGCCTTATGAGAAAGATTCAATGGGACTACTCATATGAGCATATCTAAGAATATGTCTAAGTGTTTGCCAGATCAGGGACTTACATTTCAGTTAACAAACCATACTGTAGAAATATGTGATTTTCTTCAGTTATCTGTTTATATTCATCTGTTAAATTATTGCTGTATTTTTTAAAGCTAGATTATTTATATTGCTTTTAATATATAAAATATTGATTTAATATATAATTATGTATTTATATATTAAAAGCAATATAAATAATCTAAACTGAGAAATGCCTTTTTAACAGTTTATCATTCAGTTATATGTCAAAGAATCTATGAAACAGATGTGAATTGCTGTAATCAGTGCCTATAAGTAATAATCTAAGTATTTTTGAGTTAGACAAGCACCTTCATAGCATGCCTGAGCTCATGGGCATCATAGGATGCAGGTGGATACATCAGGCCAACCATAACGTCTTTGAAGTGATGAGAGAGATTCTCTTTCAGGTCCATAATCAAATCCTTGGAAAAAAGATAATTAGGATTATTGTGGTACTCATGCTGTGCAGTGGAATATTAATCACTGAAAGCATTAAAAATAAAAACTAGCAATTATTTTTGTGATATAATAAAAAGATGAGCCCTGCAGGCTGGATTGTGGCTACAGTTAAGTAACAAAAACTCTTCTCAAAGCTGTGCATATCCTTGTTGATAATATGGGTAAGGCTACTGTACATAAAGAAAGAAAAAGAACACAACAATGTTGGCTTATGGTTAATTAGAACATAGGTGAACCCCCCTCCCCAATATTTAGAAATGGAAAAGACTTACACTGGTAAGGAAAGACATTTGGGGCCAAATTTTAAAAGGGTCTGCAATCTGCTTTGAAACATTCTCCATCAACTTGTGTATGCAAATCTTTATGAACCCAGACTTTTAGGTGTGCCTGTGCAAACAACTTTTGTGTGACATCACCACAACTATATTTTATGGGTTGTACTCAACTATATTTGTAAGTAGGTTTGTAATCATATGCAGAGCTGGACAGAAAACAGTTTTCCCAGCAAGTGAAACTTGTCAAGATTTTGAAAATGGACTCATTCCACATCTGGATGAAACTGAGACCTTTTTGAAGTTACTCAATGAAAAAAAAATATAGGAGAGCTTCGAGGCTGGTGATTATAGTACTTGCCTGGAATGATCTGAATCAGGCAGAGGGGGACTTATACGTGAGTGTTTGTCTGCTTTCCCACTCTTTCAGTCTCTTTTGCTGGAGTGCTTCTGGTGTGCATAAATAATTAACTCTTCATTTGAGCAGGGACTTGAAACTCCATCTCTGGTTAGTGGTCTAGCCACTAACCTATAGTAAACCTATAGTCAAACCTATAGACTAACACGGTTGCTACTTTGTAACCTATAGTCAGTCACCCTCTCAAGCAATATTTAATTATTTATACAAAATGTAACATCTTCAGCCAGCAAAACTGAGCTAGAGACACACTGATTTGGAGCAAGTACTCTGTTACATAGGCCAAAGGCATGCGGTAACCACAGGACTATAATCTCTCTTAGTCCTGTTCCTCCCTGACATTCCATCCTGGACCCGAGGAACTTTTCTTGACAAAAATGTGTTGAACCTAACGCCTTCCTACAAAACATTTCTGTTTTGACAAATAAACATTTCATGATTGAAATAAATCTTTCAGCCAAAAATTCCTCTAGTCATATGTCAGGGAGAAGAGATGGAGGCTAGTCAGGAACTTAAAATGGCAAGAAAGCTGTCCCTGATCAGAGGGGCAACATGAGGAAAGGTTTTATCTTTGCTTATCTTTTCCTACTTTCTAGCACCCTTCATCTGCTATACTTTGTGAATACTAGACTTATTTAGTGAATGTGTCCATTTGCATTTATCACATTTGCTGGACGTTTTTCTCTTGGATACCGGCGTGTGATTCCTGTTAAGGTTAATGAGACTTATGGGTAAGTACTAAGTAGCGAATGTCCCCCTAGTTGATTTTAACAATGCACATGGAGCTGTGATATACATTGGAAAATAAAAACATTGCTGCCTATTGTGACATATCACATAGTTATACTTCTTGGGGCAGACCCTCAGCTAAGAATCTTCCCCCTGGAAACTACATACTGCTTCTTTCTCACTACTAAAGGATTCTCTTCATGGACTCTTTCTTTGGGGTATAGGAGATTTCTAGGGACTTTCTGCCTCCCCACCCATGTTATTCACTCCCCAGACAATGAGAAATCTTGAAAATACATGCCTCAGGTTATTGGCAGTTAGTGTATGCCTCTCCCTTTTTGTTTTTTATTTTAACTGAATTTAACAAAACTGGTATGATGGCACTGGAAGCTTCTCCACAGCCCCATATGCATGCGTCCGCACTGATCTACAATGTACTTATTGAGGGGATAAGAATGTCCATGCTCTTTATCTGTTTGAGGCTTTCAACCTCTTAAGACTGCCAAAAAGCTTGTCACTTGCAGCAGTGGTGTGTTATTGTGTAGATACCTATTCACTTATTTCCTATACACTAACTAAGCAGGCATCAGGACCCAGATCCACAAAGGACCCAGATTCTTAGCATCACACTGCCTAACTTTTAAGTACCTCTAAATCGCTGTAAATTCTGGGTTAGATGCCTAGACTCCCTACACAATGCATGGAGAGAGATAGGAATAGTGTAGGGATATTAAAGAAGGTACTAACAGTGATTCCCCCAAGTGACAGTGACCCCCCAATAATTTGTCCCCCACACTTTAAAATCCAACAGTTTCACCAAGTACAAAAATCTCTTGGGTCTTCTGTTAAAACTTGTAAGCTACTGTCTGTAGAAATCATTGATTGTATCTATCCTGTGAAAGATACTTTATTACTATGTAAAACTTACAAACAAGTTAATTGACTTTGTTCTTGAAGTAATTGATACAATGTAAACAAACACTGTAAGCCGTTAAGTGACTTTCACTTCATTGTAACAGCAATGGCTCCTAGACCCCCACCCTCTGTGATTAAAGGGCTGGGAGTCTCAAATGAATTAGCACACATCCTGAAAGTGGTGGAGACACTAAATTAAAATATGGTTAAGTTATGGAATGTATGTTGATGAATGCTTGATGTACATGAATGGTTAGGGAGGTGCCAGCCTAGAAAGGGAGTATCCATCGGCCAAAGAATGTGTAAAGTGGACCACCAGAACCCCCGGAGGGTAAACTGGGATCCACCCCATCACCTGGAAGGATGAGAAACACAAACTTTGGACAGTTTGGAGCCACCAGGAATGTGCCCAGGAATG